TTCAATAACACTTTTTTCCAAAATTTGGAGTTTTCAAGGTTCCAAAATTTTGGAAACTATAACTGAGAAAAGTTTCGAATTGTGTATCATATCGTATCTTAATTTGTGATGAAGCGATGATTGTATGGTCAGCTTATTTATATGGTAGACGCAAAGCTTGCATGCTTTGCGTGTATAACTCTTCATTTATGCATTAAACCTTGTGTTGATTGTACTCAATATCGAGTTAATAAATTCGCAAAAAAATATCGAGGTCAGTCAATTATTTCTTAGTAATGACTTTTTGGTACCGATTTATGTGTTTCCTTTATTATGAGTATATTGTGTTTACAATCAATTTTACACAGCCTTTTGCCACTTGATACCTGCAATTACATTCCACAGACTTTTAATCGCCGTTTTTTGTTAAAGCATTATACGTAGGGATTCCAAAGTTTACTCGACCTCAAAATTTTTTCAAATGTTATTTTTCAAAAATCTGTAAATAGAGATTGGTATTTACGCCATTTTCATTTAGCTGTAGTCATCATACAGGATGTTTATTTTGTCAAACTACTGTAGCGTGCCAATCAACTTAGATACACCCCATTCTGGATCAATAAAGCTGCATAACAAACTTCATCGTTCAATAACTTAAAGTAAATTCTGCAGTTATTATGTGCATAAAGAGTTACAGTGTTCCGGAGCTACTTCACATTTGAATTATTTGACACTTAAAATTGACACAAAAATCACTTATTCTCATCTTATTGGTGGACAAAAAATTTGAAGCAAAAATGAAAATTATAATAATCATAATTAAAAAAAAAAACCAATGGAACAGATGATGCCGAAAACACGATCTACGTGGTCTTTGTTCACAGTTATCACAGCCAATGAACTATTAAATTAAAAAATATTACAACCAAAAATAATTACCCCTGTGAATAACACGAGAAGAATTTAAATTGTAATCATAAAATGTAACCAAAAACGTGGCTAAAATCACAATAAAACTGGTCTTGTCTAGATCAAACATATTCGCATATTATTATCAATTAATGAAACGTCATTTTATCAAAGATTTATAGGAGATTTTATGGACGACATGAAAACATGATTTACACAGTATTTTAAAAATCTAAAATTTGTTTCACTCTGGTGGAAATAGAACTGTGCCGCTCAATTATCGAAATTCGGCGAAAATTTGATCGTATCTTCGGCGTTTGCGTGCCTGAAGGTATTAAATATTGCGAAACTTATCGAGAGTTAGCAGAACTAACATTACTATGCCAAACCTACGACAATATGGAGTTTTAAACTTACACAAATTTGCTTTTTCGTAATTGAGGCGATTTGGCACATGTGCGAGCGTTTGGGAAACCCAAAAATGTGGCAAAAAAAACTAAATTGTAGCGGAAGTTTCAGCGTTTTCAGGATATTTCGTGCCAATACTTGGATGTTAGAAAACGTGCCGAGAAAGCAGCGACTAGGATTTTCCACGGTTGTAACCACTTGTACTAAAACTGTATTAGCAGGCATAACATGGAAATTTATACAAATCGTTTCCTTTTTGAAATTTGAGACGATTAGGTACACCTGAGTGTGTCAGATTGCTTAGTACGTTCACCGCAATCCTGATTACAATTTTAAAATTTTAATAAGATTATTAAATGCGTGTAACTAAGAGAGAATCCTCAAATCTTCTGGCTACAAAATTTTACTAAGAAACATGAGAAAATGTTCAGGGAATGCCAGATTTAATTTTTTTTCGAAATTGTAAAATTTATTAGGTACATTCGGGATACTCAGAGAAGTCACAGGTTTAATTTAGTGTTGAATACACATGTAAATAGATTTCTTAGCTTGTTACCCACAATTTCCGGCGCCGGTAGGAAGTTATTGATTTTTATAATATATGTATTAATAAATTCTTTATTCGTGCTTTTTCCTCCTAAATATTTTATAGTAAGACTTAACTTTAGCTACCCTACGGGATTCGGTAGCTTAACTAATTTTTTTTTGTAACATATTTAGCAGGAAAAGGACGAATAAAGGATTTATTAATTTATTGTAAACCGATTATTACAATATTTAGGAATTGCTTATTTGTTTTTTTTTTAATTTAATACTCTGTACCTCTAAATATTTCTTTAAAAAAGAAGAAAAATATATCATATACATAAAGGCTTTTGAAATTGAAATTATTCTCTGTCCTGAACATAAAACACGCTGCAAATGTTGCACAAACATTTTTGAAAAGTAAGGCGTATTCATAAACCACACACATAGGAGCATATTATTTTATCAAATTTAAATGTTTGATGTACAAAATTTTTAGAAGATTTCATTAAATTGTTCAGGTGAATGATTAGATAAATTTTAGTTAGCGTTTTACCATCTACACGAAATTCGTAACACAATTCTAAAATTTAACAACAATCGGTTCAGTAGTTTCGGAGATTATCTGTTTAATAAAAATCGACATAGACGGTGACAGATAAATAGACGGAAATGAAAGACCTATTTTTTGTACTCTTGGGGTCATGAAACGTCGAGAAAACATGGAAGTAGCCATTCGCCGGATGGACTCTATTTCAATACTTCCTTAGCTTACGCTCGGGAAGTGAAAATTCAGTGTTTTAACTTATTTGCTATGATTTTTACTTCAGAAGCGTAAGCCAAATGTTCATTCGACGAATTTTCTACACGTTTCATGACCCCCTACAGTGTGAAAAAATAGGTCTTCCGTTTCAGTCTGTCTGTCTTTCGTCTATGTCGATTCTTATTAGATTTTATTTAAAGATTATAAAATAATATACTCATATACTTGTGGTTTATGAACTAGCCTTGAGTTTTTCTCCTAGATATCCAATTTAATTTTTTTTTTTTTTTGTTATGTTATAAAAACACGTAGGACGTTATATTTGAAAAAGTAAAACCTTCGTGTGTGATCCTGAAATTAAACACTTCGTATATTTGAAAATAATTGTAAATGATAACCGCAAATTATACAGGGTGAAATATGTTTTTTAGAATCAGACCATTAGAACAACTGTATAATAATTTTGACGCCTAATATTGTTGGAAATAAATATGACTGTGTGTTTGATAAGTAGCTGTTATTATTTTTGTCCAATATTTTGTATGTACATAATTATACAAATAGATTAGATAAAAATTACCTGAATTGAAATAAAAGTGAAATTTAATTACTTTTGATTATTAAACTCCAGGGGAGCGTAGAGTCTGGATGGGGTTGCATTAAATAATAATATAACAAAAAATAAAAATAAAATGATTTTTTTTTTTAATAGCGGTATTCTATTTAATTCATGATAAACATTTACGTTAACCTGAAGTTGTAATACTAAAACTTTGAATTTGAAACATTATAACCCTTTTTAACCTTCGGACCAAAAAGGGGTATTGTAAGTTTGAAATTTTTGTCTGTCTGTGGCATCGTAACTTCCAAACCGCTAAACCGATTTCACTGCGACTTCTTTTTTCTGAAAGCTGGTTTAATCGTGGCGGTTCTTAGCTATGTTTGATGATCATCGCTTCAGCCTTTAGAAAATTATCAGTTCATAATACATACTGTGATTTTTTTCTGGACCCTTCCATTGCCAAAAAATTTGAAGAAAATTGGAATAACATGGCAACGTCGCATCGGAGTTTATAAAGTAGTAAACTGTAGTTATAAAGCGTAATGAGAGATCAGTTAAAATATGTACATACAAAAATATATTCTATTTAAAAAACTGTAACAGTTTTGTGTTACGCCTTAAAAACAGAACACTTAGTTATAAATAATTTTGGTATAATATATATTTATATATTATAAATAACCGTATAATTGTACTCTTTTTAATATGTACAGGATGAATTACTAATAGCGTGTTTCTCGATGTTTAATTAATTTTGAGAAATAGAAGAAAGCCAAAAACCAAAATTCTACGGTTGGTTGTGCATTATATGTTAAAATTATTTTTGACTATACAGAGTATTCTGTTTTTCTTGGTTTGTTAAATGAACATATATTTATTTTTACATATTTGGTTAGCTCTTCTTAGACTTTACACCCACAGTTCAGCTTTGAAATTTCGATGCGACGTTGCCACGTTATTCCAAATTTCTTGAATTTTTTTAGCAATGATTCACAAAAAAAGTCACTGTTGGATTATTTTTAAAACCTATCTTACAATATTTTGTGGAAAGATTAATAAAGACACGCACTTTGTTGTGGTATAAATAAAACTGAATATTTATATACTGAGTGTTTATATATGTTAGGGATGCCTTTAGTTCCCCTAGTGACAGAAGGGGTTCACAAGAGGGTTTGACCTGAATCACCAACACTGGCGAGAGTGTAAGGCGCAGGACAGCCGAGAACAGCCGAACGAGTGCGTCTGCGCGGAAAAACAGTAGTCATGTTGTTGGTTGAGACAGCCATTAGCGCGTACAAAAGATCCGAGCAATAAAGAAGTTTAAACAAGTGGTCGTTTACCCTTATCAACCCCTAATCATTACATATATGTATGTGTATTATTGTAATCTTCAAATATGGATATTTCAGTTTTTTTCAAATAGAACACTTGTATTTTATTACTGCATCTAATTCTATTTTTATTCTCTTTCTATCGACATCGATAAAAATAAGAAAAAAAAAATACAAGACGATACAGGACTGAAATATTAATACTTGAAAATTCACATTTTGAAAAAGTCACAAATTTAAAACTAATTGCACAACATCGACAGAAAAAGTTCCGTGTTCAACATCAGTAGCAACAACATCAATTTTCTTCCGTCACTTCAAAAATTCTCTCTCCAAACTCGTTTACTCTTATTTTACTTACTTCGTTACAAACCCGCCTCTACTGTTCTCCCAACACAATTTAACTTCTCCCAAACATCTCGTACGATTCCGGTCACGTTCGTGCGCTCTCGCCATAAAATCAGACTTTCCCCTAAATCCCCTACGTTGAATCGAATGACCAAAATATGGTGCTCATGATCAGGCCTCCTAACCGACGATGCCGGCGAGCCTCAGCGGCTCGTACCGCTCCTTGTCGGGCTCGAGCGACGTGTACCGCTCGACCACGGTTGCAGGTGGCGGCGGGAATGCCGCCGCCGGGATCATCGAAGGCATGAAGAAAGCTTTTAGTTTCATGGCAGGGGGGACATCCAAGGACCAAAAGCTGATCGAGAGGGTCGCCGGAGGCGGCCCGGTCGTCATCTCATCCAGGTACTGTGAAAGGGGCGGCTTGGCGGTGGCGGCGGCTTGGGTGCACCGGAAAACCGGGGGTGGGTGGTGCATGGGCTGTATTGAGTGTCGGAAGGGTAGTGTGTAGATAATTCAGGAAGTTTTTGTGATTTTAAATGTGATAACCCACACGATTTTGGCTAAAAGTATTAACAAGAGGTTTTTCAGGAATGTTTCCGTTAACGATAGGTGTAAGCAAAAGTTAAAAAACAAGTTTTACTTAGTTTTGGGGGTTGGGGCCCCTGTTTGTTGACAAACAGACGTCACTACGTTGCATAATGAGCTATTATAAATCATTAGAAGGCAATTAATTTTAGTGTACAATGGTTGACAAGAGTTGAATTATTACTGTTGCTGATAGAGAATTAATTAGTAGTAAAACTATAAAATAGCGGTTAAATTTTAATTGAAAACAAAGAAGTTTTTAGTAAAATTCTACTTGAAAACTATTTCTAACACGAAACAAGTTTCGCTGTGTGTTGAAGCGTCGATAATATATGGGGTAAGTCTTTATTAGCTGCTTACTAATTATAAAAGATCGTACATCAAGTTGGCTTTGAAATTTCGTGAATTTTACTGCTTCGTTGTGATGATTGATGACTAATCGTCGTTGTCCGTTACAAGCTTAATCATAACCCAACTTTCTTAATTTTTACTGCTTGCTAGCTCACATTGTCTTCTACAGTTTCACCAGTTCAGAGTGGTATATGAGCTGATATTATAAATAAGCTAATTTCATTGAAATTAATACACTAATGCAATTTATTACAATAATTTTAGTATACGTAGGACGAACTTGTGAGTCTTTTGTTTACAAAAATAATTTATCAATGATGTGACACTAAAAATATTTTCATATGTAGACCGTACTGAATTCAAGACTGAAATAAATAACTAGCTTTTTAATATCTCTTTGGCGGTATGCAGTGAGATAAAAGGACCTTTCTTAATTCCCAAGGAGACTATCGAAAAGAACTGGTGGTACTACTGCTCTCAGTTTAATGTAAATCAGTGCCAACATAACCGTTAGCTAATCAGTTTCTGTCACAGTGTGATGTTTCAGTTGTGCAGTCGTACCACCTACACAGTTGGTGTCATAGCCAATTCTGATTCATTCTATTCAAATTCAACGTGACTTCATAATACTTTAAAATGTTGTGCTTAATTTTACTTTCAAGGAATTAACATCAGTTTGACAATGGGATTATAATTCAGGTTTCGACAACCCGGCAAAGTCAACACCCACTACGGTGATTTGTAGACACTCTATTGAGCTTTCGGCTTTTACTTTTACTGCTGCTTCGTACTTTCTAATAAAAATGAGTATGAAATATTTTAAAAACTAGATAGCAGATAATCTAATGGTGCATTATTTACTTCCATCAACACCTCCAAATTTTAAGGTTATGTTACTTGTCATACATTTTTCTTTCAGGTTTTCAAATTTAACATGATCTGGTTTTGTTGTTTAGATATAATAAAGTTCCAACAGCTTTTTTGAATTGATAATTAATTTTCACAATTTTATTTCGTGAACTTACACCTTGTCTCACCATGGGATAGGTACGGGTTTGGCGTTTTGTATATTAAATTTTACTAAAGTTGGTTGTACATAGTCTTGTGATTTTTCCAGTAAGTTTTTGAATTCCAATTGCCAAAATTTTAGATTTTCGAATTTTTCGATGTTTCAATTTAAAATTTCGACATTTTTCGATCTCTCTTATGATTTGTTTTCAAGCTATTCAATCGTTAGATTTTCGAAATTTTAGTTTTTCCAGGTCATGTTTCTTAATTTCGATCTTTCAAATTTTGGATTTTTCATTTTTTGATTTTCCTGTTTCTCGATTTTTCGACTTTTCAATGTTTGGATTTCTCGATTTTTCAATTTTTCAATTATTCAGTTTTTAGGATTATCATTTTTTCCATGTTTCAGTTTTGGGATTTTTAATAATTTCGATTCATCAATTTTTCTTCGATTTTTCGACTTTCCGATTTCTCGATTTTGGATTTTTAAATTTTAAATATTTCAACTTTTCAATTTTTTGATAATTTATTTTTTAAATTTTTAAATTTTAGATTTTTCAGTTGTATATTTTGATTTCTCGATTTTTTGATTTTTCGACTTCTCGGAGATAGATTTTTCGGTTTTTCAATTATTCGATTTTTCAATTTTTCGTATTCTCGATTTACCGAGATTTCGAAATTTTAATTTTTCGGATTTTTCAATTTTGGGCTATTTCGATTTCTTAATTTTTCGAGTTCTCGACTTTCGATATCTCGATTTTTGGGTATCTCGGTTTTTAGGAGTCTGGGTTTTTCGTTTTTCCAATTATTCGATGATTCGAGTTTTCAATTTATCGATTTCCCTATTTTTCCACATTTTAGTTTTCGAATTTTTCAATTTCTCGATTATTCAACTTTTCGAATTTCAATGATCCAATTTTCAATTTTTCGGTTTTTTAAAGGTTGGATTTTTTGAGATTTCGATTTCTTGTTTTTTTTATTATTTTTCAGTTTTTTTCATTTTACAATTTTTCGACTTTTGATAGTTCGAAATTGTGATCTTCCTATATTTCGAGTATTCAAGGTTTCGATTTTTGGATTTTCGAATTTTTTGATATTTCAATTTAAAAATTTTCCATTTTTCGATCTTTTTTGTATTTGGCTCATTCGATCTTTCGACTTTTGGATTCCTCATTTTCCGATTTTTCAGTTGAATATTTTCCTATTTTTTGATTTTTCAATCATTGGATCTTTCGATCGTTCAATCTTTCGTTCATGCGATAGACATTTCAACCTCTCGTTTTTTTATTTTTTTATTTTCGTATTTTACGATAATTCATTTTTAATTTTTAGATTTTTCGGTTGAATATTTTACCATTTTTTGATTTTTCTTTTCTCGATTGCTTGATCTTTCAATTTTTCGAGTTTTCAATTTAATATTTTCGATTTTTCGATCGTTCTATATTTCGATCATTCGACTTTTTTATTTTCGAATATTTCAATTTTTCATTTTTGAATTTTTAGGTTTTTAAAGTGAATATTTTTCCATTCAGTCCTGCGATGTTTCCATCCATCTTTCGATTTTTTATTTTCGAATTTTTCGATTCATTTTTGGATTTTTAAATTTTGCAGTTGAATCTTGCTTTTCCATTTTTCGATACTTCGAAATTTTGATCTTTCTGTATTTCGATCATTTAATGTTTCGATTTTTGGATTTTCGGATTTTTCGATGTTTTAATTTCAAATTTTTACATTTTTCGATCTCTGGATATTTCTATCATTTGTTCAGTCGATCTTATGACCTGTTTTCGACCTATTCAATCGTTCGATTTTCGGATTTTTAAAGTTTCCATTTCATATTTTTCCATTTTTCTATTTTTTTGAATTTTTGCATTTTTGGATTTCATTTTCAATTTGAAATTTTATCATTTTTTGAACTTTCAATAGTTATTTCGATCATTCGATTCTTCGATTTAATATTGTTCCATTTTTCAGGTTTTCTGTATTTCGGCCATTCCATCATTCGATCCATATTTCCACCTTTCGTTTTTTTATTTTCGAAATTTACGATAATTCATTTTTAAATTTTTGATTTTTCGGTTAAATATTTTTCCATTTTTTGATTTTTCCATTTTTCGACTTTTCAGTCTCTCAATTTTTGGATCTTTTTTTACTTCGATCATTTGTTGTTTCTATATTTCGATCTTTCCATCTTTTGATCATTCGACTTTTTTATTTTTGAATTTTTCGATTTTTCATCTTTGAATTTTTAAATTTTTCAGTTGAATGTTTTTGCATTTTTCAAATTTTCGATCTTTCAATTTTTTGTCTTTTTAGAAATTTCAGTTTGATATTTCTCATTATTCGATACTTCGAAATTTTGATCTTTCTGTATTTCGATGTTTCAATTTAAAATTTTTACAGTCGATCTTATGACCTGTTTTCGACCTTTTCGGTTGTTTGATTTTCAGATCTTTATATTTTCCATTTCATCTTTTTCCATTTTTCGATCTTTTTGTATGTGAAGCATTTGATCTTTTCGATTTTTTGGATTTCATTTGTGGTCCTGCAAAATTTCGATCTTTCTATATTTCTGTCATTCGATCTTTGGAGTTTTCGATTTTTCAATTTAATATTTGTCCATTTTCGGCTTCTAATTTTTCATCTGTATTGTCTTCTGGTTCTGAATTCTGTTTCTGATTTTCTTATTCGCTTTCTATTACATTTATTATGCTAGGTCTTCTATAAGCGGCTATGGATTGACTGTCTGTTTTTTTAAAGATAACATGTTGGTATATTACTATTTTCTTAGAATTTTCGTACCGTAAGTGATAACCATTTGGTCCGTATCCTACAAAAGATACTTTTTAGTGCCAGAGTCAAGTATCTGGACAGATCAGATTTTATTTTGGTCCTGTATTCTATAGGTGTTTTTGGCAGCTTCGGGCCAAAATCCTTCACTTAATTTGCTCTTAAATATCATTGCTCTGTCTTGTCTTCATTTATTTCTGTTTCAAACAAATCAAAAGCTTTAAATGTTACTATTATTTGAAGTTTCCATAAATGACACGTGATTTCATCGTTACGTTTTTTCCGTTTTCGAGTTTTGCTTCTAGTTTTTCTGTCTTAGTACTTGTCTGGGCCCATAACCTGTTGTGTTTCGGATTTTACTTTTACTTATTTTTTTTTTATTATTCTTATATTTTTAATAAGAATGAATACGAAACACTTTAAAAAGTAGATAGCGTAAAACCCGTGACTAATCTTAAAATTTAATGGTGCATTATGTACTTCACACCAACATTAATAACCTTAATCCGGCTCAGCGATGCAACGTAAATGTAAACAACAGCCTGTCGTTTAAAGCCTCCGTAGAACTACGAGAATCTGGTGGCTTGAAAACCCCAGGAGGGATTGACATATTGCCAGTGCACGCACTAACTTTTAATCAAGTTTATCAGCAGGAATCATGTGTAAAG